AATCACAAATAAATGATTATCTAAGAAATTTCTATGTGAGAAAATATTTCTACTTTTGGCTCGAATGGTAGAAGAATTAGATATATTTTCAATAAAAATAAAAAAATAATAATAATTAAATCTTTTTCAACAACGGAGCCTCTTAAGAAAACAAATGAGATTCTTGAATATTCTTGAGGTGATGAAGTATTTTTAAAAAATTTGTCAGATTGATGGAGAAATTTTAAGAATTATCTCCAATATTTAAATATCAAAATTAAAACCATTAAAATCAAGATCTTATGATAACTTAAAATAAAATGATATTGTCCTTTGGATGGATATGTGGGAGTGCTATAATCTTCCCCATATGTAACCATATTTTTGAACCTTATTTTGAGTAGTAGATCAAAATCTATTTTTTAGGAATCCTTAGTCAAGCTTAGAAGCTCCTTAAAAAGATAAATTCATTAGATGATCAATCACACCTAGATAAAAGATTGGTGGCAACTCCTTAGGTTGTATCTAGCTATAAGTCTACGAATCTATATGTTATGATAATCTCCAGCTCAAGGGAAAGAAAGAAGGCTATAAGGGCTAATTACATAGAAGATACAAAACCATTTTTTCCATAGGCAGGTGGAAAAAATTGGGCTTGGTTAGTTGATAATGTATAGGTGAAAGATGAATGGAAAATATTTCAGCCTGTAACAATTGCCTAACTGAAAAGGATGGTAGCATATCCAAACATGCATGTGGATCGATTCCTATTCTTCTTCATGGAAAGCGAACGATGTGTCATTTTTAAATTTCTATATAGTGAATTGATTCATTTATTCATACTCATTAATTTTTCTATAACAAATTAATATAGGAAAAGGATCTTGGACATGTTGTTACTCGAGCTGAGGTAATTTGATTGTACTTATAAGCGATCAGATGGTGAATTTGTGGATAGAAAATCCAAGTTTGTTACTGTAAGTGAACTTTAGCTATTTTCTACATATATATGTAACTATTTAGATTTATTTTTGTGAATTTGTTTTATATATTATCGTAGGAGAGATATGCTGTTGTGTTGGCTGAAATTTACGATGATGCTTCTTTCCAACCCGAGTTCGATGTCGATGCATGGCGTCAAGTGGTTGCTGGCGTTGGTCATGGACATTGATATGGATTTGGACGAGAAGATCTCAGAGATGTACTCAACACTTCGCATCATCAGAAGTCATCATCTACACCAGCTACTTCCAAATCTACTTCCATTCAATCTCAACATGTGGAACAAATATTCCAACAATTGATGCAACGATTGGATGGAGTTCTAGTTCCATGTTTGCAATATAACTTAAAAGGTATGGGAATTGGAGTTTCAAATCCTAAAACTCATGGGACTGGTCTAGTGGATCATAGTGAAAATGCTGAGGATGACATAAATGGATTAGGTGGAGATACAGTTCATGGTGCTTGATAATGATTAACTACATGATTTATTATAGACAAATAATATTAGTTCTATATTCAGTAAACTTAACTACTTGCTAGTTTATATTAAGTAGGGTACCTTGATTAGTTTATATTAAGTATGGCATCTTGAACTTAGGGTTATTGACATATTTCAACTTATTCACTAGTTTAATGAATTTATTAGCTAAGTTTTATGATCTTAGCTTGAATATATATATATATATATATGTGTGTGTGTGTGTGTGTGTGTGTGTGTGTGTGATAATATTTTATTGTGATGGATTTATTTTGATTAATTTGGATTTTTTGTGATTGATATTTTGAATTCTAATTATTATATTTTTGTGGCGGAATATGGTGACAAATTTGTACTATATATTGTAATTTAGGTTTTGTGGCTGATGTTTGAAAGTTGTGATTGTTATATTCTTTGTGGTGGAATACGGTGACAATTTTGTGAAATACTAAGGCTTTTTGTGATGGATGTTTGTAAGTTGTGATGGTTATAGTCTTTGTGATGGAGTATGGTGACAAATTTGTACCATATATTGTGATTGATATGTGATAGAATTGTGTTATACGGTAACTGATTTGTGTTATTATTTGTGATAGATTTTTGTCATATGTTTATAATGTAATACATTATGTGACATAAAATTATGACAAAATTAGTGAAAATCTCATTTATTGTGATGGAATGTATCAAGAAATTATGACCCATTTTTGCCATATGGTATAATACAGTTGTGATAGAAATTTGCAAAAGAAATAATGATAGAATTAGTAATATCGTAACAAAAATAGTGACAGATTTTATATATTGTGATGGAATGTAATATCAAATTTGTGACAGATTTAGTAATAAAAAAGAAACTGTAACAGAATTATGCGACAAAATGTGGTGACAATTTTTTTAATAGTAACAATATTGTGGCAGCATTTGGTGACATTTTAATATTGTGATAAAATATTTGACAGCAAGTAGTGACGGATAATTTATATTGTGATAGAATATTGTTACATGTTTAATTTTGAGACAAAATTTGGCAAATCAACAATGGTGACGGAATTTGTGATGCATATAACCGTCACTAATGTTAGTGACGGAATATGCGAAAAATTATGACAGAACAACAGCGACGATGGTGTTAGTCTCGAAGAGTTACCGTCACAATTTTTCGTCAGCGATATATATCCTTGACGGGAATAGGGCTGACAGTTTTTTCCATCACTCTTGCCTTCAAAATCTGGTAGTTATTGAAAAAAAAATAAAAAACTTTTCTTCCTTTTTCTTTTTTCTTTTTTTTTTCTCAATTTTCTCTTTCCTCTCTATCTAATATTCTTTAAAGGTTCAATTAACTACAATTATATAATTGATTGATTAAAATTTATTGCGTGATTAATTCTATTCATTTAAGAGTTTAATTGAGACAAAATAAAAAATTAAAGATAGATTGTCATAAAATATTAAAAACTTAAATGAATATTAAGTTATAATTTAGAGATATTTTTACTCTTTAACCTTATATTTTTTATAAAAAAAAATGGGTTTTTTAATTTATTATATATTTTGAAAAAAAATTGAGATGAAGTCTAAATTTTATCACTTTATTTAAGATGAAGAATTGAATCTATCATTTATTTTTTAATAAGTTTAATTGTATCATCATGTGTTTTAATTTTATGAATATTCTTTTATTCTTAACATTTGATTTCTTTAACAAATTAAAAAGTATAATTGTACAATTGCAATTAAAAGATGAATAATCTATATTACTATTATAATTATAAAACTCAGCTCGATATATTACTCAAAAACCACATGATAAAATAAACTATATGTATTATTAGAGACATCTTTTTTAGTTTTGCTTAAAAGTAAGAGTTCAATTTAGATCTATAATCTATAATATACATAAGTACTGCTGTGATGAATTTTTTGAACTAACAAAAATAGGTATGATTGTTCATTATATTTTCTAAATTGCCATTGTAATTTTTTATTATTAATAATATTTATCCAATTATAAGTAAGGATTTTAATTTTATTAAAAAGTTTTGTAAAATGGATTTATTTGATAATAAATAGAAAATAGTTAAAATTTACGTTGAATTGTTTATTTAAACTTGTCCACAAGCTGGGTTTGGATAGAATTTTTTTAGTCCGAGCTTGGTCTAACCTGAATTATTATTTTATCAATAAAAAATATTTTTATTTTAATTTAACTATAAAATATATTTAAAATATTTGTCTTAATAAAAACTATATTTATATTTTAATACCATTTACGTGCCTAATACGTTCAAATAGGTTGGTCGGGTTAAGTCTTGGGCAAGATCTTGAAAGTATGAACTGAGTCTGATTTGTTCAACTCATGGACACTTTTAATTTTATTTTGAGGGTTTTAATTTTTTATTAACCTTAAAATAAATATATTTATTGATAAATTTTATATTGAATTTCTTTATCTTCAATTTTTTATTTTTTTTATTAACATTAAAAATAATAAACTTTTTTATTAATTTGATATTCTTTACACAAGAAACAAATTTTGGTTAATATGTATTTTATTAGTTTTATTTGCATAAAATATACATTTTTTAAATATATAAAATATACAACTATTTATTAAAAACAAATAAATAAATAATGAGAATTCACATGTAATGAACGTACTAACAAATACTAGTATTTATAATAATAATAAAATATATCATTAGTCACTTAATTATAGTTTTTGTTAAATCATTTAATTATTAAATTTTTCGATTGATTCAAAGTTGAGAAAGTGTTTTTTTTTGTTTTTATCACTCAGCCATTATCGTTATTATTATTGTAGCGTGCTAACGTAACAGTATCATGTCAGTTGTTAGGTGTCATGCAACATAGCTGCATCATCAGCACAAAGCTCAATCTCAAGGTAGTAACACCTCCTCTTTGAAGCTTGCAGTAATTCAATCGTACTCGGTGTTCATCCAAGGACACATGCATTCCTCATTGCTCATTGAAGATGAGGATGTTCGGGTAATTCAATTACAAAAAATGTTAATAACGCAACACCAAAAAGCAAAGTCAAATGCATCTGATCAAGATATCTAAGAGATCACCAAATAAAAGATCGACTTCCAAAAATATCTTTCCAACATTCTTATAGATGCCATGAAGAAAGAGAGAGACCTAGAGAGACCTCTTCTTATCATCTAAGCAGCCAAATATTCTTTCATATAAACATACATGCCTAGAGTCATGGAGGCTAGAACTACATCAAAACAATCAATGATGCATGAAAATTCGAAGGTTATTTGGTCAGCATATTGCATGTGCGCTTGCATGTGCAGTAATTTAATTTAGCAGAATAAACAGAAAGATAAGGGACAAATATACCTTAAACTCCGGCCTGCCACAAATCAAGTTCATCTCACAAAACTCTTCATTTGATATCTGAAAGTATTACCGTTACTAAGCACCACTACTCATGAGTGCCAAGGCAGATCTTTACTATTTAACAAAGAGGCCACCTTAGGGACTAGCTCTATGTCAAGAAGATGAAGTCATACCTGCAATACTACCTGAAACAATCACAGGGATCAAGCCAGTAATTCAGAACTCTATTTCAAAATTACAATCAAGTATAAGAAACACAATGCCAAAGAAAAGTCCAACTCAATTTGGCTAAATCAAGCATACAAATAAAAGGAACATGAAAAGAAGACAATCTTACAGCTCAAACAGCTGAAAGAATCCTCAGAAGTCTCAAGTGAAAAGTTACAGAATTGCTATTTATTCATTAACATCAACATGGATATCATGTCTCTGCAAAAGTTGTTGCAGTTTAAAAGATGCACTTTCTACAGGATTCTTGAACCACTTTTTCTCAAATCCAAGGACAAATGCTCGATAAGCGATGATATTTGGTAGGATACCATTTTTAATCATCATTTCCACCAAGTTGCATGCCTCGTCCATGTTTCCAGTGCTACAAAATCCAAGAAAAAGAGTGTTGTATAATACCAGGTCTGGTTTCAACCCAACCCAACATCAAGCATCCTAACAAACAGAGCGTTAGCTTCTTCCATCCTACACACCCTTCATTAGCCATTAAGTAAAGCACTGCAAGTCACAACATCAGGTTTCACATGGTGTTCACTCATCAGGCTTCACATGGTGTTCACTCATTTAAAACCATACAAGAAATGCTTCCTCAAAGTCCCCTTTTTTGGAGAGCCCATCTATGATATTGGTGAATGTCACCATATCAGGAAAAATACCCCTTCGGACAAGCTCATCCAGAATATTTTTTGCCTAATTTGTAAATCCTCTTTTAATTAGGCTGTCAATATAACATCAGGAGAGATGCCAGCTGATCTCATCATATCTACAAGCATAAAGGCCTTGTGTAAGTGGCCCATCTTTCCATAGCCATCTGTTTTCATGTTATATGTAACAATATCAGGTACCAAACCTTCCGTTTTCATCTTCTGAAACAAACACTCTGCCATTTCCAAGTCTTCAGATTTGCAGCAAGCACCAATAAGTGATGTGTATGTAGTCATAGATGTGTTAATTCCACATTTTAACATTTTCCCAAAATATTGAAAAGCTCTATTCCTGTGCAGATCTTTACAATAGCCTCAAATTATATTAGTATAACTAAAAAATCTGGAAGCAAGCCCAATTCAAAAATCTCTTGAAAGATTACAGAAGCTTTTACCATGTCACCATCTGCACACAAATTTGTGATGAAGCTATCGTATTCAAAAATATTTGGTTTAAGATTAAAGAAGTTTATAACATTCATTGGTTCGTTTGGTCTTCCAGCTTCACAGTAACTTCAACAAAAGAACTAACCAACACTGAATCCGGAGAGATTCTCAATCTATTTAGTTTAAACAGCATAGAAGTTGCTTCTCCTAAACAAGACATCTTGCAGAGTGAGTCAATTATGATTGTATATGCAACAACATCTGGTTTAATCCCATAGTTTTTCATTTCCACAAGCAATCTCCTGCCACTTAAAAGGTGGCCTTTATTGCAATACTTGTCAATAAACAAACTAACAATGGAAACATTTAAATCAATCCCTTGCCTCAGCATTTGGTCCAGAAAATTCCAAGCCAAGTCCAATTGATTTAATCCTAACAACACCTTAAGCAGCGAATTGCAAACCCTAATTGATGGAATCATGTTAAAACTCTTCATTTGACATGATAATTTTCAAGCCAAACTAACCTTGTTTTCCTTAATATAACAATCAACAAGCATACTACACACAGTTTGTAAAACCATTCTATCACTATGAGTCTCATAAAAGAGTTTCAACAATAAATCCTCCGAAACCTCTTCGCTAATAAAATCCACTGCTATATGATTCATGTTCCTGGAAACTAATATGTGTATCATTTTACATACTGACTTAAGCGAGTGCAATGATCCAATACAACATTCAGACAACTTGAAGAAGTACAAAGCAAGGTCAGCATCCAAACTTTCATCAAATAAATCAGTCAAAATCCAAATTACATTTGATTCATTCAAATCAATGGTGCATAAATTCTCAGGGTTAATATTCCAACCACGTTTGGAGAGTATTGATTTGATCATACTCATGGAATTGCATTCTTCAGAGTGTTTCAGGATAAAATGTTGGGATTCTAAAAGACAGAAGAAACAGATGCTAAATTCTTAGAAGGAATATGAGTGAATAAGAGCTTACTGAAGACTGAAAAAGAAGCTTTCATGAACAGCTTGATATTTTTGCTACAAGAGAAAAGGGTCAAATAAAAACAAATCAATGAGCACTTTTGATCATTAGAATTATAGTTCTTACGATGTGAAACAAGCTGTTTTTTTAGATAAATAAAAAAAAATTAAAAGAAAAAGGAGGGATTGAAGAAACATACCTGAAGCTGAGGCTGAGGAGCGCATAAAATTAGAGAAAGAGGGTACATTGATTAGGTTTCGTCGTTAATGAGAACCATGGCTTTAAAATAACGGGAATGCTAAGGGCAGTTGCTGTAAGCATTGCCTTTCAACACTTGAGGCCATAAACAGCCATGTGTTTTGCATCTATTTTATTAGTGTACAGTGAAGCTCAAAGTAACATGAAATTGGCTTCATCACAAAAGTTTTTATAACATAAAAATACCCCCATCTTGCACATTTATTTTTTAAATTTATTTTATTACGTAAAATATGAATATATTTGTTTTAAAATAGTGTTTTAGGTAAAAAAAAAAAAAAGGGATTCGAATTTTATTATTTATGTATAAAAATTATGTATTAATCATTAAATCAAATATTTGGATGCAAAAATATATACTTTTTACCTTTTAATTTTTTGTGATTCCTTAAAAAATTATTTTTGATCCCAAAATTTTTCAATATTAGTTTTTTTTTTTTAAATTATACTACTTTTGTGTTTGTTAACTTGTCACATTCTGAATTATTTTTAAAATTTTAATTTTAATTTTTATCATATATAATATTATATTATAGAATACATAAATTTTGATAAAATGTGATGTGAATACCTACTTAAACATGATAAAATATTTGTGGCTATTTAAATGAGATTAAGATATTCATATTTTAAATAACTTATTTGAAATATCATTTATTATTTAAATTTTGTGAATTTTGATATAGAATGGGTATGATATTTTAAAATATACTGACCAAAATTAAATCTTGTTATTTTTAAAAGAGATCTATGATCACAAGGTTTTTCTTTTAATTTATTTATTTTTACTTAAACATATAGTAGATTTATTTATAATTAGAAAAAAAGATTTTTATATCATTAAAGATTGTACAAGTTTAAGTAGATGTGGATCTTAAAGTATTACACTAGCCAAATAAATAGTCACACAAAGCTATATAAATATATAAAAACTGCATAAATTATAATAAGAGTAGAACTAAAAAAATAAAAGTTGGATTTGATAGCTTCTTTTTTGGTTTTTACATTTTTGCTTCTCAAAAATTACTTTAAAGTAGAAGAAAAGTGTAAAAAGCAAAATATAATTGATTAAAATAGACATATAATTAAAATGTACACCAATTTATAATGTAAGTAATTGATAAAGGAAAAATCATCATTTTATTTGCTAAATAACTTACCGATTTTATAATCTTAAAAAACTAATCGATTTTAGTCAAATGCATTTTCCCCCAAATAAAAAAACACAAAAAATAGAACAAAACAAGAACTAAAATGAAATTTGATCCATGGCTTCCATTTGAAAAGTTACAAAAATCTTCTCACAATTAGATTTTCATTTTATTATCATGTGAAGTTCAAAAACTTGTGATAACAAATTCCAGTTTCTAGTTTTGAAAGTTAAGTCAAGTGGCTTCTTGTGCATTCGAGTATTGAAAGATGATGCTTGGGAAGAATGCCCCTAGCATTCTTTTTAGGAAGTGTTTGATTCGTAAAATTATAGATTTTGGAAGAAAGTATGATCCCAAAAAAATATGATATCTGGGGTTTTTTTTCATTTTCAAGACATTATATGTTTAGATTCATTTATTTGATCGGGAAGAATATATATATATATATATATATATATATACTTATATATCAAATCCCTTATAATTACTATAATCTTCTTAACATATATGATGGTAACTTAAATAATTTAATTTTTAATTAATGGAGATTATTCAAGATATTTTTTGTCATAAAAACGCTTTAAATAATTCTTAAAAAAAAAGTGAATGGGGTTATTCAAGGGGTTTGTGGCTAAAAACACATTGAATAATTTTCTTTAATTTTTTATAGGGGAATTATTCAAGGCGTTTTCTATCAAAAACACCTTCAATAATCCCTTCCATTTTTTTTTTTTGAGATTATTCAAGTCGTTTTTAAGAAAAAAATACCTTAAATAATCCTTTAGAATAAATGAGGTTATTCAATGCGTTTCTGATAAAAAAAATCTTGAATAATCCTCTTCAATTTGTATAATATCATTATTCAAGGTGTTTTTAGCCAAAAAATATCTTGAATAATCCCTTACGAAAAATTGAATGAGGTTATTGAAGGCGTTTCTGAGCACAAAAGCCTTGAATAATCCCCTTAAATTTTTATGAGTGAAATATTCAATGTGTTTTTTACCAAAAATACCATGAATAATTCCCTCTAATTTTTTAGAAAGAATTATTCAAGGTATTTTCTACTAAAAATATCTTCAATAATCCTCTCCCATTTTTTTTGGGATTATTCAAGATATTTTTAGGAAAAAATGCCTTGAACAATCCCTTAGGAAAAATCGAAAAAAGTTAGTCAAGGCGTTTTTGACAAAAAACCCCTTGAATAATCATTTTTAATTTTTATGAGGTCATTATTCAAAGTGTTTTACCTAGAAAATATCTTAAATAATCTCTTATAAAAGTTTAAATGGAGTTATCGAAGGCGTTTCTGGGCAAAAACACATTGACCTTAAATAATCCCCTTAAATTTTTATGAATAGATTATTCAAGATATTTTTAGCCAAAAACGTCTTGAATAATCCTCCAATTTTTTAGAGGAGATTATTTTAAACATTTAATTATGATACTTAATTAGCTATTTAATTTCATGTAAAAATTATTTTAAACATTTAATTATGATACTCATTTAATAATTATTATAAAATTATTTTTTATATTAATAATATAAATACAGTAGAAATATTAATATTAGTCATATATATTATTATTTTATTTTTTAATCTTTAATAGTTTATCATTTTGAATTTATACTAAAAATTAATATAATTATGTAATATAAATTAAAATTTAAATATATATTAAATACATATTAAATGAATATTAATTTTTTTATTTTTTTAATATGTTAAAATTTATTAACATTGAATTAAGAGAATGGTGATTGATTTAAGAGTTTTGAAGTCTATGGAAATGGATTTGGCTATGGTAAAAGCTAGAAAGAGACTTTAGGTGAGAGGCTTGAGTAAAGTTAAGGCTCGGTACAGACAAGCCATTGCCAATTTCTTTTAAAAGGTTGAAAAAGGCAAGATAATTAAATTTTAATGTTAATTAAAGTTAACTTAATTAACAGTCTTGTCAAAATTGTTTTAATTAGCCAGTCTTGTAAATTTTTAAAAATGAAAATACTCAATATAGAGTCAATCATGGATCTTAATATTTAATTTTGAGGAATCAATTAATATTATGCTTTAACTTATTTTTTTATACAATATATTTTATGATATGTGTTAATATAAAAATGTATAAATGTGTAAAAAATATTAATAAAAAAATTAACAAGTCTATAAAATTATAAAAGAAAATTAATACAATGGTAATATTAAACTTAAAGAATAATATAAAATAAAAAATAACAAACCAATAATTTTATAAGTTTCATAGTTAAAAAAATATTTTTATCCAAACAAAAAAATATATATGTATATACACTTTTAAAAAATAAAGTTAAAAATTGAGATAAAAATCCATGGTATTTTCTACCTGTTTAAAATTATTCTAATATGATTTTTCCTATTGAAAAATATTATACGACACCATGAAATAAAGGCTTAAAGTAATTAAAAGTGAAATATGATACTCAAGAAAAATTTATAATTAGCTAAAATGAAAATGAAAAACATTAACAGTCAAGTGGCCTATTAATTAAGCATTGGATTTCTAATTTCAATTAACAAGATTCAATTTTTGACAAAGAAAAAACATAATTAATATTTGGTTGACATTTAGTATAGTTGATGAAGCTAAAAAGTTAGTTTGGTTTTTATTAAAATCATATTATTGTGATTTAAAATTTATAAAAAAAAAAAAAAAAACTCTTAATTTTAAGGATTTATAAATAATGATTAGTGGGTATAATAAATAGACAAATATAAATGTGAGTAGTGGGTATAATAAATAAAAAATAGTACTATTATTTTAACTCCTTTTAAATTATAATGCTCAAAATTAAATTATAAAACCATGATAAATAATATTAACATTTTTGAGGAGACCAATTTAAATTTATTTAACATAAATATATATCTTGGTTAAAAAACCATAAATATATACACATTCAAGAGATTTTTCAAAATTTTTGGGAGCCTTTTATGATTTGCTATTAGAATGTAACTTAATTAAAGATAAAATATTTTATTTGTTTCAAACTAAGATCGACGTCTTTCAAAATCTAACAAATTAATTTATTTTTTTAACAGAAGTAAATAATATGCACAATTAACACTTGTAATTATAATAGTCGATAAAAAAATAAATATGATAATTGTTTCATTTTATTTTATTATTTTTAAATGAAAAAAATTATTTTTTTTTTTTTCTCCCTCTTCTCTTTAACTATTTCCACTCTCTTTCTAACTTGCATCATCTCTCAATAGTTTGTGAAACCCATAATATGATTCACTTCCATTTCAAATTATCATACTATGCTTCATGAAGTATTTATAAGTCTATGTATATGTATCCTATCAGTATGGTGCATTCTTAGGCTCATAAATGCTTGTTGCTATTGATGAAGTATTCATAATTTGTGTAAATATATTCTAACGATACAATGCATTCTAAGGCTTATAAATACTTCCTGGTTGTAAAAGCATGTAAATCCATACATTTGTGCCTTATTGATACAAGCATTCTAGGGCCTATAAATACTCATTCTGTTATATGTTAATTTGGGTATTTACTCGTAGTTGATAATTCTAGTCATGACTATTCTATTGGTTTGAATTTGGTTTTTTAAATATATATATAAGTA